CTCTGCCCTGGGCTTCCTGGAATCAGCTGCTGATCAGTTTCAGCAGCAGCTGACTTGGGGACGCCTGGTGTTCTTATCTTGAATCTGTATGTAAGTGGAACTGGTGTCCAGATTCAGCAGCTGTTGAAACTGATCAGTTTCAGCAGTGGCTGATGCCAGTTCCGACTTACATACAGATTCAACTTAAGAACAAACCTACAGTCCCTATCTTGTACGTAACCCGGGGACTGCCTGTACTTCTATCAATGATCCTATGGAGCATGCATCATCTAGAAACATGTACAAACTAAGATGTTTGCCTTTTTTCTGATCTTCATTATCTTTTTCTTTATGAAAAAATCAATAAACACTAATTGCAAAAATACAGAGTTGTATGGGCCACTTCCACTGACAATTATAATACAGTTATGATCAACTTCATCAGCTTTTAAAACAATATAAGAAGCAAAAAGAAGGGAAGGCACCAGTTTCAAGGCAAACATTTTCGTTGGGAATACTCGATGGTAAATTCTCTTGGGCAGGGACTAGGGATGTGACTAATTACTCCCCCTTCCTCTCCCCCAGGGGAGGAGCAGGAGCCAAGACTGAGGGGAATTGGCTTAAAAGCTGGTTTCCCCCAGCACCATCTCTGAGGGGGCAGAGAAGGTACAGACACAGAGGAAACAGTGTGAGCAGGGTCTGAAGCAGTCTCCACTCGTACCAGTTCTGCTGTGATTCTGCTTTTAAAATGTACAAGAGCTCCATGTGGTCGTGCATATTTCAAAGACTCAGGCGCCGCAGGGAGCACAGGGCCAGTCCCCGACTGGCCTCACGCTCCCTACTGGGCTTCTGCTTTTGAACTGTAGCAAATACCTGGCAGAGCTCTTGCTACAGTTCAAAGGTGGAAGTGCCCTTATAGACTAAAATCGAATAGTGGATGGAAATCCCATTGACTATATGATTAATTAATTATATAATCTAAATGTAACATCCCTAGCAGGAACTGTGGTTTTATAGCAGGTGTGTGCAGAGCCTACCACAAAGTTTAAATGCCACAATACAAATAAGAACCTGTTTGGTCAATCTTGACTCTGATGTTCTGTACTCCTTACATGCATGGATCCATTGATGCCAACAGGACTCCTATATGTGGAAGACCAGATTACTGAGCCAAAAGACCCCATGCACTGACTAGGAAGAGAATTTTACCTTCATTATTTTACCATGAAATTCTGTTTTAAATAAAGACAGATATTTGGAGACTACAGAGAAAACTAGACCCTAAAGGCCCGATTGATCACTAATGATCTAAATGGGTTACCTGGTAAGCATCCCCCCCTAGACATACATACATGCATTCTTTTTTCCCCTCTCTCTCTCTCCCCTCCTCCTTCCCCACTTCCATCCCTGAGCAAGCGTGGGGCCGGAAACAGATGGGTTGTAGCAGCCCCTGCCCACAGGGCAGAGAGTCCCCACCCTACTTTAATTTAATCAGTTAAGTGATTAAACTTAATGTTTAACCGGTTAATTAAACAGGATTTTACATTCCTATTAATCATCTCTTCGAGTACTGTCATTAACATCAGCAAACCGGGAGAAAAAGGGACAGTCAAATGCTGCTTACACTGATAGTGTTGACTTCACAAAATGCAGGTAGGTGGTGAATCAGGCCCTGCACTTCTGGGTCTAGTCTATACCTACCCAACTCAAAATGCTATATCTTGGTAATGCACCATGTGGGGGTTTACCTCTTTTGGTTCATTGAAGCCATCTGACACCATTCATTTATACAGGGGTTATAACAGTGGGCAGCCGATATCTCTTGGCTGGTGATCCTGTAGCCCCCGACGACAAACAGGTAGTTGTCCATCATTGCCGACCCATAGCCTCGGACATTCACTAGATCCAGGGGCATGTTGCTGGCCAGGGGCAGCCACCTCTGAGCCACCTCATCATACCTCAGCATGGAGCAAGGGGTTTCCTCCTGCAGGTGGCGGCATGGGGCCAGGCCCAGGGAGGAGGCACCCATGAAGTCTCCAATAGCCAGGAGGGTGGCAGTGCCCTTCATTCGCCTCTCCCTCAGCTGCTGCCTGAGGGCACTGGGCAGGAGGAGGTGGGGACGGGCCTCCGGGTGGCGGAGACGGGCATCCTGCAGGTCCTGAAGGCCATAGACCGGGGCCAGGCTGTGCAGCTCCAGGCAGTTGCCCAGCCTCACCTGGGAGAGGAGCAGGCGCAGCAGGGGGGTGACCTGCAGGTAGGAGGCGGCCTCGACCAGCTCTTCCAGCAGAGGGGGCTCCTGCTCCCCGCCCTCCTCCTGCTCCAGCCGGGCCAGGCAGGAGGTGTTGATGAAGTCCGGCCAGGCTGTGCAGCTCCAGGCAGTTGCCCAGCCTCACCTGGGAGAGGAGCAGGCGCAGCAGGGGGGTGACCTGCAGGTAGGAGGCGGCCTCGACCAGCTCTTCCAGCAGAGGGGGCTCCTGCTCCCCGCCCTCCTCCTGCTCCAGCCGGGCCAGGCAGGAGGTGTTGATGAAGTCCAGCACCAGCTCCAGCCCCTGGGCGCTGAGCCCCCCGCGCAGCTGCTGCTCCTCCTGCCCCCG